GTCCCCCCTCTGGCTCCTATGCGTAGAAGCAGCCAAGGGGCTCCGCACGCTAGCACCGCCCCTGCAGCTCCCATTGGCCGGGAACCAGGAACCAATGGGAGCTGCAGGGGTGCGGCGCCTGCAGCCAGAGCAGCACGCAAAGCCGCCTGGCTGCCCCTCCGCGTAGGAGCCAGATAGGGGACAAGCCACTGCTTCTGGGAGCTGCTTGAGGTAAGTGCCACCTGGAGCCTGCACTCCTGACCTCCTGCTGCACCCCAGTCCCCTACCCCAGCCCTGATCCCCCTCCCGCCCTCTGAACCCCTCAGTCCCAGTCCAAAGCACCCTCCTGCACCCCCAACTCCTCATCCCTAGCCCCACCCCAGAGCCCTCACCCCCAGCCAGAGCCCTCACCCCCCCACACACACCTCAGGCTGGAGTGCTCTGAACTCCTCATTTCTGGCCCCACCCGAGCCCGCACCTCCAGCTGGAGCCCTCACCCCCTCCCACACCCCAACTCCAAATTTTGTGCACATTCATGGCCCACTATACAATTTCCATACCTAGATGTGGCCCTCCGGCCAAAAAGTTTGCCCACCCCTGAGATAAAGAGAATGTCGGAGTTTTCCTAAGAAAGGCTTGGTCTTTTAATCACACTTTCACCTTTAGATCGGAGTTGCTCAAACTTGACAGCACCAGTGGGTGTCTTCACAACTTGGTAGGAAATTGAGGGCTGCACCTAATTTGCATAAATGTAAGTTCCACACATCTTTTACACCTTCCTTGACAGAGGAATATAGTGCTTACTATTGAGTTCATGAATTGCTAACACTCAGAAGAATACCAAACTTGGGTTATGGCCTGTTAAAATTCAGTATTTGAAATGGGATTTAACTCTGTATCAAAGACACAAGATATGAATAGCCATTTAGGTGATCCATGTTATAGGGGTGCAATTCATAGCCATTGAAGCAGTATCAGCAGGGGCCTTTGACTATACTATACATACTATTATTGTGCCATTACAAATAATGGGATGCCATTGGATGTGTGGATGTAAAGCACAGAAAGGGTTAATTATTCCCCGTTATTCAGATTTTTTAAAAAATTAGCCTTACCTCAGTCCTTTGTAAATTTAGCTGAGAAGGTGGTTGTGTGTGTTAACTTTCCCTCCTGTTACTTCCCAAAAGAAAAAATATTCAAAAGTACTGATGAAGTAAGCATGGGTGCCACCCATTAGCATGGGACCATCTTACTAGATATCATCATAGGCCGTTTCCCAACCGGGGAATTTTCAGCATGACTTTCAGGTTCAATTTTGTTGCTGATTTTACACTCTTCCCCTAATTCTTTAAAAATTAGAGATAGAAGAATCATGGTTCATTCCCCTACTGTCTGTCTGTGGTAGGGCACCCCTCCTAGACGCTACATGGGGAACACACGCAGATTCAATTATCCCCCATCTTAGCGGGTGTTGCAGGGCATCTTTCTTATGGTCCAGTGCTCAACCCTCTGGCCAAGGCCTCTGAAGTCTCAGCCCCTCTTGGGGTCCCAGGCAAAACAACAAGACAGTCTGCAGTCAGTGAATGGGGTCAAAGAGAAGAAAAGAAAAAGCTGTCTGTAGCTCCCTCCAGGGTATGGACCTCTCTTATTTCAGAGGGGCCCTTGGACTAGTATCTCTATCCACTGGAGTTCCAGTGTAAAGTATCAGGCCTCTTTCCCCTTCTGCTCAGGGGTACTGCACCCTCCTCTGCAGGCTGTCAGCCCTCTCTTCAGGGCTGGAACAGATCAACAGTCTGCCCAAGTCTGGGTTCCCTTCCTTTTAACTCCTCCTCCAATCCTGGCATGATTTGCAGACACACAGGAGTGGGGCCATTCCAGCCCACAGCAGCTCCTTAGCCCCTTCCATGCTAGTACAGGGTATATATACCCCGTCACACCTATCAGTGTAGGGTTATTCTCTGTATTGCATGCCAGAGCTTTGTCCTGTCTAGTTCTAGGCACCTTTTCAACTTCAAGAATGAATTCGCAGTGAGTTGACATCACTTGCATTGACATCTCCATTTCATTTCTCACGTGTTTCTCCTATGCAGCTAGTTTTTAAATACTTCTCCCTGACAGGTGTTGCTTTCTGTGAAAGTCTTTTTGTCTCAGGCAGCTCTTTTTCTACTCTCCCTTTCTCTGGTCAGCATCCTTGTAGGTTGGAAATGTATTTGTTTCATTTTTTCCTCTTTGGCATGTACATTTGGAGTCAAGAGGTGAACCTGAAACAAAGCCTTAGGTGTAAATGTGCCTGAACTTTAAGGGGGCTTGGAATCTGATTCAAAACATAACCATTCTTAAAAAATGAAAGTTGTATCAAAACCACAGCTCTGACCCCTCACAAAATTTGTGAATTCAAAGTGGGTCTCTAATGCTGAATTATGTGATATGGGGGATGATTTTCAAAAATACAAATGGCAGGCACCTAACTTGCACAGAAAGTCAATAGGAGTTAGGGGCTTAATAATCATTTGTGCCTTTGAAAATCACTGGGCTTATCTCTGCTACTCAGTTTTTAACCACTCGAGGGATATCTCCTGAAGACCTGGCACTGAGAAACCAAGCTTTTGGGGTACTGAGCCCCAATTCCCCGTATTTCACAAGATCACTTCAACTTGCCAATTTTCCATCTCTTTGGAAGATAATTTCAAACATCTTGATGTTTCTATCCTGCTAATGTTGTCTGCCATGACCAAGAAATAGGCATTGGTCAAGGAACCAGAGAAAATGTGCTCTTAGTTTGTCTCTTTTTAATCAAGAAAATATTTGGACCCTTTTATTTCAATAAAAAGTTGCTAAAATCCCTTTAAACGCATCAGGCAGGATTTTAACAGCATTTAATTTGTAGTGTCTAAATAAAACCTTAGAAATAAAGGAGAAAATTGAAAATATGAGCAGGAGTGAGAAAGTTACCCACCGACCCCTCGCGTAGCGCTTGCTGAAGAACTCGTCACTGCTGGGAGTATGGGGGCAATACTCTGCAGTGAGGATGTGTTCCAGCTGGTGTCTTTAGGGGAGCAGGATCCAGCCAGGGCATGGGACTACAGTGACTCGTAGATATGTGGGAGGAGCTGCACTTTTCTCTTCTACAGCTCCCACTCTAGGCCCCATGCAGTGCAAACATGATTTCTCTTTCATGCTCTGGCTGCTCCCCCCCCCCCACTCATCCTCCCTCCATGGCTCCACATGGTGCTGTTATATGATGAGCACATGGAACCAGAAGGGGAGTTAATGGGAATGTGGGGTGAGCTGAGGGCACCTGAGGATGCATGGGGAGGTTTTGCCAGTTTTTAGGTGGGAGGCCTGTCTTGGAGGGGTGGAGTTGTATATGAAGCCTGGGGTAGAGGAGCCAAGTGGCTTGGTGTTGAGGCATTGGGCTTGCAGGGTCCTACAGCACAGCTGCCTCAGCTCTCCAGTGCATAGCTGCAGCACTAAGACAGCAGTTAATACACTGTTACTTCAATACCAGGGCAAAGACTTGCTACCTGTGCCCTCTCACCTGTCCTATAGTCCCCCTGCCCTTTCTGACATCTTCACTCCTGCCTCCCCTCACTGCGTCTAGGGTGGTGGGCAACATTGAGGGGATGGGAAGGTAAAGGAGTAGGTAGGGGGCTAGAATGAGCAGGGATGAGGAGAGGTCAGGTGGATCATTTTGGGTGTGCAGAAAGTGTTTTGGTTGGAGGCCTGGGTCAGAGGGAACCGGTGCTGGGTTTTCAGAGGTCAGCTCCCTGGAGCACCAAAGCACCTGCACATCGGGAAGCTCTTGATGAGATGATATCTCAGTGCAGACATCTGGTTGCTCCTTGGCACCCCAGATAGCTGAACAGAAGTGTTGAAGAAGCTGAGTGTCTGTGTTGAGGCACTGGCACTTGAAGGACTGCCCACGGCACTGCTGCCTCAGACAGTGGGATCCACTCCAGCCCCCATCCATACATTCCTGATTCCTCTGTACACAAGCCTCTTCTCTTCCAGGCCAATGCATCCCTGCAAATCCACCACCCCATTTCCCCAAAGACTTGCTTACCCTGCCAGACACCCCACATCTCTGCCCATGCCCCATTGCCATGTCTCTCCCACAGAGTCTAGCCCCCTATCCTGTTAACACTGAATGAGAGGAATAACTCGGTGTGTTAATGTTTCAGAAGGGGCCTATGGCTTAGATATTATCTGAATATGAAGTCTGGACAGTCTGCGGTTGTTTAGGACCCAAACAAGTGTATGGACAACCAGTCAACATTTTGGTAAGGGAGCCCTTTTAAATGTTTCTTTTGTAAAAGTTAGTAAAAAATGACAAAATTCAATTGCTCTCTGGAGAGTCAGTATGGCACACTTGGAGACTCCATTTAATTATTAAAGTACAAAACAGAGGAAGTTCAGGCTTGCTTTCAGGACAAATCTTGAAGCAACCTTTATTACAGAGTTGCTGAATGTCAAAATGTATAGCAATATGCAATCATGGGCTTGGGTTTTTATTAATAACTAAATGAGAAGGGAGTTGTTCAATAATTTAGTGATCAACTTTACATGGTAGCCTAAATCTTCTGTCATGTTCTATATGGTAATGAAAATCATTGTTTTTTTGTTTTCCTTCTGAGTGCACCTCACAGTTACAACCCATAGATAGTGGCCAATGACCTTACCCGTTTCAGAAATGAGTTTTTCTTTTAGCTTCAGTTCGACAGATGAGTATTGCCACTATCTTCCTTTAGCCTATGGTTTTGTCCTTTTGCTTGTATCTTGGAACTACTGACCAGGTAAGTCTAAAGGAGACTTTTATGCCACAATAACCTGTAGTGAATGGTGGTTCTTTCCCCCCTCTCCCCCAAATGCTTAACAAACAAAACAGTTTACTGACAAGTTGCCTGTTACACTATAACACCATAAGTCTATAGCAACGAGTGCTGAGACCTCTCTTGAGAGATCCAATGCATTATAAATACCAGTTCCTTGATTTCTGTTCTCCACTCTACTTATGTTTCTGGCCTTTTTCCCTTTTTTTTATAAATATATTTATTTATTTCTCCCTTGGTTTTCTAAAATGCAGTTCTTCAAAGAACATTTCAAGTTTTTGTCTTCTGCTGTCACTGAGAGTCTGTTCATTCTGTAGCAAGTACGTGGTCCATATGATTGATATTCTTTCGCATGCGTGATACAACACACAAGTAAACAACAAAGATGAGACACAGCAATGCCACGGCTGTGAAGAAAAAGAGGAGACCAGCAAACAAAAAAGGGTTCACAGGTAGCTGGATCAGCTGGCTTTCTGCTGGGATCATGTTGGTGAGGTTCAGCATGTAACCAAGAGACCATGCTATACTGCTGTTACCAACCTGATGCGAAAAAGAAAAAATTCATATCAACTTTTTTGCTAAAGGCCAGAGAACCCAAAAGCTACAGCACAGCTGACACTGGCAACTGTTCTAAAAATACTGGAGGCAAGGCCTTAGCAAAGGCTTGCAAGGATTTTTAAGAGAACAGATACTTTCCTAAATCTTTCAACATTACATAGAGGGACAAAAGAGGAATCCTGTAAAGCAGTAGCATTGGTGATTCAGTGGTAGAATTCTCGCCTGCCATGCGGGAGCCCCGGTTTCGATTCCTGGCCAATGCACAGCTTGAGCCTTCAGGGGAGGGATAGCTCAGTGGTTTAAGCATTGGCTTACTAAACCCAGGGTTGTGAGTTCAATCCTTGAGGGGGCCACTTAGGAATCTGGGGCAAAAATCAAAATTGGTCCTGCTAGTGAAGGCAGGGGGCTGGACTCAATGACCTTTCAAGGTCTCTTCCAGTTCTAGGAGATGGGATATCTCCATTAATATATAATATTAATAAAGTTACACATGATTTTTTGCTATCTCCGTTTCTATATCATTTGGCTTAAACAATTGAGATAAAAAGACATCAGATTGATTCCCACACTGAGAATGAGTAGAGTATGGTTCTATCTCATCTATTTTATCTTAATCTATCGTATTTAAAATGTATGTGTGTGTGACCAATTACTATAAGTATCTTAGTGTGAAGAACAATTTAAGGTATCAGCAAACATAACAATCATAGAACTGGACTCTACTTTCACCATCCTAGTGTTTGGCTACTTATACCTGAATTACACACACACACACACACACACACACACACACACACACACACACACACACACACACACACACACACACACACACACACACACA